AATAAGCCTCCTCGCAGGTTTGTTCAGCCTTTAGAGTTTAAAAAGATCCTTAAGCCTGAGATGGAGCAAGGGCCTTTGTGACGTCAGAGGAAGATAAAGACAATGCATAAATAGAAGGCTCGTCTAAGTCAGACGTTGACCTAAAACCAAAATTTGAGTTCAGATTTAGATGGTTGGACAGATGGTTGGATAGAAATGTTTGTTGGTAAAGTCAAAAAAGAAGAAAGAAGGTCAGACAAAGGCACCAAACTGACTACACTTATGGGAACATGAAGGTTTTGAAGGTTAGAATCAATTGCCCATAAGAGTTCGTCCATACCATGATAAACCTTTTTACCTAGCTAGAGCATTGTCCTCAATTTGTTTTTGTTTGTAGACATTAGGTTTAACAAATAAATAGTTAGGCTATAGTTTTTTTTTCGCAATAACAGAAAAGACCTTGTCAACCGAAAGAACCTTATTTGTCATAATAGTTTTGAGAACTGTTAGATGAATTTTAAGAAATCAAATAAAACCAAATGATTCACCACCAATCTTTTTCGACTATGTATGATTGGCTACCTAAAAAAACTTATCTTTCTAATAAAATTTTAAAAACAATTAAAACTTAGTAAAAAGACAATTTTTTGTTTGGTTTGCAAAAACAAATTTGGATTATTAAGTACGTTTACGCATGGGAAAGAATTAGCACCCCTATAATGTTTTGTTTAAAAATGATACCAATTAATCACATGTTATCCTCAAGCATTGATAAAAAAGTTCTTATCTTAATATTTAAAATAACTCACTTAATTTTTTTATTTTGCAAAAGTCTTTTTTGGAAACATTTATTTAGGTGGCATTTCAAAAAAATATTTCTCCACTTATGATTTCCATAATAATACTTAAATTCTGACACAATATTCCTTTATAAAAAATAATAATTGAGAAACCCTTTAATATCTAGGTAGAGTTCTAAAAAATATCTTCACTTAGAAATTTTAGCTTTTATTTTTAAAATTTTTTTTTCAAAATTATATTTTTTTCATTTCACATTTAGTACTAACTATGATGCATGAAATGCCATATATGAAATAAAAGATACAGATAAAAATCATAAAATGCAATTAATTTATTTTATTCTATTTTTTCAAATCTTTTATTTTAGTACTTCTTACCAAAATTTCTTTAATAAAAATCTTTAAAATAGAAATTTTCCTTAATTTTTCAATATTTAGGTGGACTTTAGGAAAGTTAATCATTTATTTTAAAAAATTATAATAATCATTAAAATAAAAATAACATTTCTTGGTAAAATAAATATTTGAATTTTATCTAATATTTAGACAAGATTTTCCAAATCATTTTTACTTAAAAATATTATCTTATTTTTTCTAAAAATATCTATCCCTTTTTAGAAAATCATCATTTTTATCCCATTTATATTATTAAGCAATAAAATATATATGTTGTAGCTTGAAATAAATACACAAATAATGAGAATAAATAAATGATGCAAATAAAATAAAATGATGCAAATAATCAATGTAATTTTTCATCTTGAAAACTTTTAATTTGATTATTTTTAACATCCTAGTATTTTTGCTTTCAAATAATATTTATTTATAAAAATAAAAATCTTTGAGGTTGAAAACTCCCTTTAATTCTTCAATATTTAGATGAAATTTAAAGAAATTGATCATTCAGTTAAGAAATTCGTATAATAGATTTTTTTTAAAATGAAAGTATGATTTCACGGTAAAAATAAAAATTTGAATTTCTTTTGATATCTAAACAAGATTTTCAAAGTTATTTCTACTTAGAAATATTATCTTACTTTTCTAAAAAAATCATTTTTAATGTTTTTTTATTTAAACTAAAAGTAAACAAAGATGCAAATAAAATTAGGTAAAGAAATTATACCTAGATCTTGGGATCGGTATAAATAAAAAAGGTTGATGGCCCAACATCAAGTGGGCCTCTGGTTTAAATAATCAATTCTACCGCTGATCGGGTCAACAACAGTAGTCGAGTTAGGTTATGTTAGGTTGGGTTGACCTATTTGGGTTCTTTTATTTCTGCTATAAAAGGCAAATATTTTTCTTTCAAATCATTTCCACTCTCTTCTTGAAAAAACTTTTATCTTCTTCCAACAGCTCTTCACCTAACTTTAACCGACCACCACTTTCGTTGCTAGTGCCATCTCTAGCCGTTGCTAGTGCCATCTCTAGTCGACATTTTTTCAGTCCAAAATTTCACCAAACGTTCTCTTTAATGCCTTCGTTACAAATTCGAGCTTGGATTTCCAAAAACACGCCTCTAAACTCGTAGATTTAGGATGAAACCTCAAAACTTCCAACTATCGAAAAATCCTATCCCACCGTTCAATCCTCTTGCACTTTTAATATGTTGTTCTCCTCTACCTGTCTACCATTTTAGATCGCCTTAAAGCATGTGCTATCGTGAACGCCACCCTATGCCATCGCTCATTTGTTGCCATTTACGAGACAGAAAACACCCATTTTCTTATCTTACAAGCCCAAAATACCTCCCCCAAAATGCCTTTGAACGTAAAAAATTCCAATGAACGAAACTCCCTTATTTCATTTCTATGATTTCTTTTTTTTTTTTGTTCAGCACTACTTCTCCCTTAACCCAAAAGATGTGTTTGATGTTTGTGGTGGTTGCTCTTCTTTTTTTTTTTTATTTCAGTTTCTATTTGGTTAGGGTTATTCGGCTGGGTCAAGGGATTTTTAGGTTGAGGAAAGGTTATTTTATGGTGTGTGGATAGTTGTTATGGCTGATAGAGGTTATGGGCTAGGGTTCTTTTGGTGGTTCCAAAAAGGTTTTCTATTGAGGAAGTAGGCTATAGGAAAAAAAGTGGCAAAAGAAGGGGGTTTGGTTAGAATGGAGATTCGAGTGCTTTTGTAGTAATGGAAATTGATGGTGGAAGCTTGACGGTTGTTTTGGTCAATATGTTCCGATTAGTTTATAGGCATTTGGAATCTTTTTTTGCTATATCCAAAATCCCCGTTTCATGACATTTTGTTCAACCATTATCCACCTTTAAGATCATCCCAAGACCAGGGAAAAAGGAGTGTATTGGGTAGAAGAAGGGTTGCTTAGTAGCTGAAGTTCAGCTACCATGATGGCTCATAGGATGGCTTTATAGTATGTGGGGTGGCTGTCGTATAGAGCACCATCCTTTAGTTTTTTTTTTTTTCATGTTTTTAGATTTTTAAATTAATTAAAATCTAATAATAAATTTGGGCTTCAAGAGAACTTTGGGCTTCACATAGGTCTTAAAATTTGATTTTCAAAATTTATGCCTTTAAAAATTAAACTTGGACTTTTATGGTATTTTTAAGTCAAATTGACCCAAAATTGACTTAGACTGGATTTTGGCGTATGCAAAAATGATTCAAAAATATTTAATTTGAAATAGAACTCAAACGAGTCTAATTAAATTAACATGTTTGAATCAATCTCAATTAGTATATCTAAATTAAAATTAAAATTGATTACGATTAAATTATTTTAAATAAAATTAAGTGTTTACTCTATCTTGATTGAGTTAACCGCTCTTAACTTTTACTATGAAGTTAGAAAAACTTAAATCATATGACATAATGAGAGAAAAGAAACGTACTAAAGTTGTTTGAGAATGAGAGGGTTGAACATAGAAAAGTTTGAACAAAAGAAGGCTAGGAAGCTGACCAACGAGTACAAGTAGATAATAAAGCAAAAAAAATGTTGGGAAGTGAAGAACTAAGGTCCCAAAAGGCCTTAAATAGCCAAATCTCAATTCGGATTGACGTTTCAAATTGAGCCACGTCATTATACTAATATTAAGGAAGATCTTCTGGCTTTTTAGTCCAAATTCAAAGAACCTCCCAACTTTTTGCTTCCTGCCTACATTTCTCTCTCTTCAATAAATGCGAATTTAGATGAATTTGTGACAAGTCCAACCAAAAATCCATAATTGTCACATCGATCATGTTGCATAAACGCTAGACTAGCCATGGCACATAAATATCATATCGGACATGTTACCATATACTTCTAATGTCACGTTAGCCATATGCATAATGTCATGTCGAACACACTGTACATACACCACAATTGTCACATCGACGATATCATACAAGCACTAAGTTGGTCAACTTAGTTAGACACCAACACCACCTCATCCACATAGGGTACGATCATAGAGATTAACTAGGTAGATCGAGGTTAGGATAATTATAAAAATATTTTCTCTATTAGTACAATGAGAACTCTAAAAGGAATCAATGCTTAACTAGTAGTTTGATTTTAACAATAACAAATCGACCAATCCTATTTTTCATAAGTCTAACACCTCATATTGTAATATGATGAAGGATAAATTTTTAGGGGCATTTTATAGCCTAAGAAGCAAAATAGACAATTTGTCCTAAAGTGTGAGTTATCAACCAGTTAGGGTAGTTTGATCATTTCGATTTGAGTTGACGTGTCAGATTAACTTGAATTCTCAAGACTTATGTCAGTTCCGTCATCTCAACTTTCAACCTAAAGACACATGAAAATACTAATTTGTCACCTCCTAATTAGGTTATTGACTATTAAATCAAGTTGAGCCAACAACGTTAGCCTTAGCACTGCCACTTAGAGCTTAGGTCACCCAGGCCCAACACTCTCATCCCATAGATATAAATAACCCTTTTTTTTTTAGGTAGTATTCATTCGATTTCGATATATCAACTTCCAAGTTTTCTCTTATCTCTCTTCCTAAGCATTGACTTGAGTATCGAGCAAAAATGTCGAAAAAACTTCCAGCTTTTACTATTAACCGACTTTACATTTTGTAATTTCATATTCTTTCCCTTGTCTAGACAACTTGGCACCAACACATGACATATAGGACATTGCTTGGAAAAAGAAATCTTAAAGGCAACTAATGATTTTATCAAAATTTAAGAATTCTAGTGAAAGATCTTAAATGAAATAAATAGATATATAGCTATTAGATAGACACAGCCTCAACCAATAGCAAAGATATTGTCTTTCTTTGCCAAGCTTTGTTTATTATTGTGCATCCACACCTTAAGGACTCTCCTCTTGATTCCGATCTCTTGGCAAAACTGCTGCACAACAGACTCATCCAGCTTTTGAGTTCTCCATCCAGCTTTCTCCGCAAAGTCGAGCATCTTTTCCTTTTGCACTTGGCTGAACTTGGTCCTAAATCTTTTCTTCACCTTTCCACTTGACATTGCTGCGGCTTGCCCTCCATCATCATTCTCATCTGTTTCTGATGGGATTAACCCTCCTTTGTCGGACATTATCATTGGCTGAGGTGGTTCTACCCTTGTAGAAATCAAGGTATCTGGTGGAGGGTACCCTTGCGGTGATCCCAGAATGTAACTGTGAGGATCCAAGATGAGTTTCCGCCCGACCGAGGAGTGGTAACAATCAAAAGGATAGTCGCATTTTATCTCTTTTCGATGGAAGTTCCGATGGCAGTTGCAAGCTGAGCACATGAGCGCCTCAATGGAGCCTTCTTCGCCATTTGGCATGAACTCTCCGCACCCATCTGTGGCGTTTCCTCCAATGGCTGCCGCATGGTTCTTGAGGCATTCCTTGTACGTCACCACTTTCTTGCTATTATTAGCTCTAACCGGGTTCTCTTCCACGCTTGGAGACATTGGTCCGCTGTTGCTGGGGGATAGTTGGACTCCTGTAGAAAGGATGATGTGGTCATTTCCTCCACCGTTTCTTGACATTGGCATATCTTTTCGAGGGCTTGTATTATTCGTCTCTCTCTCAAACACCATTCACCAGGCTGTAACTACAATAGAACCGAAAGAGGCTACGGACCCTCACATCGGATTCTCTGAAAAGATCGATGTTATGTTGAAGGGTGCTTCGTGTGATGTGAAAGACAAAATGTAGAGGCTGTGTTTCTTGAGAGAGTGAGAGAGATCATACATTTGAAATACTAGTGAGAATTTTACAAGTAAAGAGACTACTTTTTTCAAATGCTGAATTTTAGAAGTGAAGCAACAAATTAAGGGAAACAAATAAATAATAAAATTAGTGATAGACAAAGAAATTAAATGTGTAGACGTGTATTTAGTGGAGTAGAGCAACTACCAGTAGCTTATAAAATTAATGCGTAAGAGAGAGAGATGAACATGAAGAGATGAAATTAAGCATAGTTTTAATAACGGTAGAGCTGCTTTGTTTGCACAATCACCCATTCAACGCAGGCTATGGAGAAAATACACCTTTTTCAAAAAAAAAAAAAAGAATTTCTTAGTGTTTCATTTTCAGTGCCTCTGTCGATATCGTCTATTCATTAGCGATTGTATAAATTTTGACTAATATCTGTAACGCACATAAATAAAGGCGGTAGAAATCTGACTGACTTGAATGGTCGTTTGCCAAATCTATCTTACAAACCTTGATTCACAAAAATCTGAATAATCCAAATCTAGTCGAGAGAAAATGTTCATGATTCGCCAACTTGGTTGCTATTATGGTAGAGTAAATGTGCCAAAAATATTTATTCAAAATTCAAAGAGTCCAATTTATTAATCAAGAGGGACCAATGTCTACTTCAATACCATATTAAATTTTAAGTCAAATATTCAGCTTAAAACTAATTAAAATCATATTGAAGATGTTGTTGTATTAATATATCCAAAACATCTTAAATTTAAGCAATTAATAAGGACCAATTTTATTATTGTTGATAGACAAATTATTAATTTGTGTAAGATATTATTCATTTTAAGGCCTAAAAATTTTTTTTTTTTATCTTTTTGAAGAAAAAAAACGTTTTAGCAAGTGAAATCCTCGGTGATTAACAATGTTGGATTTTTTCCCCTCAACTTTAGCTCCCAAGTCAAAGATATGAACTGTCTTGGGAGAGCACGGTTTCCCACATATGGCAACAATTCAGTGGCGTCTTGGGAGAACATGGGCCAAACTTGCTTGCTGAAGGGTCTTGGAGCCATGATGTCAGCTTACCGCGGCCTATAAAATAGCAGAGGTGCGATGATATCCGTTATGGTGTTCAAGTTATTTGAGTCAGCGCCTTGGACTTGCTTCGGGGCCTCAATTTTGTGGGTCCTAGGTATGACAATTATCACCTCTAGAGCTGGAAAACTGATATAAACTTGAAAATCCACTTGAATCAACTCGTGGCTGAATTCGGATTAATTTGGATTGATTAAAAAAAAGTAAAACACTTAGAATCCAAAAAATATGAGCTTCGAAAAATCAAATTTGTATAGCTCAAAACTGGCATGACAATAATCCTTTATGACTCGAAACTTTTACAATTTTAATTTGAAATTGATCGTATCCAAAACTCGTAAATGATTAAATCTATAATTTGAAAAAATTTAAATTATAATTATATAATTTTATTTAAAAATTAAAATAAAAAATAAATTATAACTTTTTTTTAATTAAAAATTTGAAAATTTTGAAATTGTCATCTAAAGTATATCAAATCCGAGGTAGAATGAATTTTGATGGAATATTGAAAATGATAAGGACATATTTGATATTTTTATCTTCTTCCGTGGGCATTTTTGGATTTGTAAAGTTTGCAAGTATTATTATTATTGTTGTTGTTATTGTTGTTGTTATTTTTGTTATTGTTGTTGTTTTTGTTATTATTATTATTATTATTGTTGGGCTTTAGGCTTTGTAATAAAAGGATTTTGAACTTTGGATATTCTTTTGGCTATGTTCTTTCTTGTTTCTTTTTAAAATAAATTTTTTTAAGTTCTAATAAAGAATTATGATTTTGAATTATATAAGAAAATTCTATTAAGTTTTCAATCAATTTACAATTTTAATAAAAAAAAGGAAAAAAATGAAGGTGGCATAAATAAAGGAAAAAAATGGTGAATAAGAGAGATAGGTAAAGAATAATTAACATAAACCAAAGAAAAATAAAATATAAAACGAAGTATAATTAGCAACTTGAAAATACTATATAAATAATATTCAAATTAGAAAAATATATTTAAAGAATAAATCCATAATTAAAAATCTTTGAGTATTGAAGTAAAATATGCAATAAACTCTTTGTTTATTTGGATTTCCATAAATGTTGTTTTGAGTTTTTTAAGAAATGAGAAAAACCAAAAGAACATAATTCGGTATATTTTTTAATATGTTTGTGTTGAAAGTTTTAAACTCTATAATCAAGTTAAAAATTTAGTTAGTATGTATTATTTATTATATTGTTTTTATTTTTTAAAATATATTTAAAGAAATATATATATCATCCTTTTCATTTTGCTATTCATTTGTTGTTCATCAACTATGAATGAAATAATTTTTTGAAGCAAAAAATTATACATCCACACAATTAATTTTATTCATTTTTTATCTAAGGTTGATCACTCCTAATGCCATCCACGTGACGCTTCCCGATTGCCTTTTTGTTTTTTTTCTTCTGCCACACTTCTTTCCCCCCTTCTTCCCTAAATTAAACGCACCGTTTAGTTGCATTATAAAACTTTCATTTTTTTTTTCACTTTTCTTTTTTTCCTCTCTCTCTAAAATCTTCAATTTTTTTTTCATTTTGTTCTTTTATTTTTTTTTAATTTACATAATTTCTTTTTAAAAAACATATTAACAGAGATATCGACGTGGCATTTGAATTTGTTCTTTTTTGCCTTTTTCTTTTTTTTTTTTATCTTTTTATTTTTGAACTTCTCTCTTTTTTTATATAATTTTTAACCATTTGGATTTTTTAAAAGAAAAAGAAAAGATGAAAGAAATGGAGACGTTTACCTGCCCTTACCTAAACGCTCTGCCTCCTCCAATTCTTCACGTCATTTGCTTCCCACCTCCTTCAATTTCCTTCAATCTTTGAGCACTTCTCTCCCACATGAACTTTTATACTTTCACAGAACAAATCGTTTGGTTTGAAAAAAAAAAAAGGAAAAAATGGCATACATAATTGAGGTGCAATTATATTTATTTATTTAACTTGCAAGTGGTTTAATTCTTTAATAAATAAATATATTATAAAGATTCTAAATAGATTGAGTTTTTAAAAATTAAGTTGATTTTATTTAATAAGATATAATAACAAGAACTGTTAATATATATATTATGTCAATAAAATTTTAATTATTTGAAATGAAATAGATGTTTATAATAGAATATTTATTTTCAATTGATAAATATTTTTTGGGTTCGGTAGACAACATTTCTTTTAATAAACGTTGTCATTTGGTTACAAAATAAAATTACATTTGTGAAAGCAAGTGTCGTCTATAATCATAATAAAAGACGTTAAAAAATAATCCTATTATCATAATGGAAAGTATAAATATATACATTAATTTAATTAAACCGTTTGCAAAATAAATAAATAAATATATTATAAAAATGTTAAATAAATTGAGTTTTTTAGAATTAATTTGATTTTATTTAATAAAGATATAATAATTAAAATTATTAACGTATATATATTATGTCAATAATATTTCAATTATTTGAAATGAAACAAATGTTTGTGATAAAATATTTATTTTCGATTGATAAAACAAATTTTATTTGATAGGGACACAAACCTTTTAGAGAAAAATATTGATTATTATGGCATGATTAATAATATCACTAAGTTGGATTATTATGGTAAGTAAAAAGTTATCTTATTTTAGTGTGATTGGGCTGATGTGAATAGTATAATAGATATTAAGAAAGACTAGTTTGGCTTTACAATTGTAAATTTTTCTCGATTAATTCATACTAGACAACAACTCATCGATGAACTTTATGTTTTTTTCTTTTAAGTCAAACAAGTTTTTTATTTTGAAAACCCTAAATAATTGAGGTGGTATGTTATTCTTCGAAATACATTTAGAGACTTATTTGATATAGGATTAGATATCAGAGATGATGTTAAATATAGAACTAAATGTTCTTTTTCTTACTAAACAAAACTTGGATGAAAATATCTCCAGCACCTCTGCTCAATGAGTCAATGAAGATGTTAATGAAAACATTTATGAACCATGATGGATGACCCATATTTTATAATTTAAGTATTTAAAACGTAATATAATAAATGTTAATATGTAATTTATGTTGCATTCACTTTTATTTCAATTATTGAATTGTAAGTCATACATTATCTTTTTAATTTAATTAAATCAATATGTTCTTTATATATGGTTGCTTATGATTTCTTAACTTCTCAATGTCTTTATATATGTTCTTTATATATATTTTTTGTATATGCATTTTTATGATGCAGCTAAGCTACAATGTAGAGGAATAGATTGAAAAGAATACATATTAGAGATATTAGTTCAGAACCATCTATGACACTAGTTGATCTTGGCTATGGACTAAATCATTTGCAGGGGAATGTACATACGATCGGTTCTAACTCAGTCATTTCTAACCTTTCAACAGATATTGGATCTGACAATACGGGAGGTCTAGGTTTAGATAGTATCCCATCAATTGATTCTACTTTTAATTTGAATACAGGTATCGTAAACCCAATATTTAGATTTCGATTATAATGATTAAAGTATTAGTAATTTACATTCTTATTTTTTATTTTTTGCAGTTGATAACAATGGTTAATAGAAGACCAAAGGCCAGATAACTTTCATGGAATTGTTTGCACTAACTCCAAACGAGCGTATTATAATATTTGTAAACTCTGATAAGCAATCAATTGGTAAAAAGTATCACCTGTTGGTTGGATTTCTAGGCATGATTGCCCGTAATGGAATGAAATTGCCTATTCATTATGAAACATAGCATAAAGTTCCAACAAAAGTTAAGGTCGATGCTTTAAACTTTATTGAGGTATTAGTATAATTAATTACATATAAAAATTAATTATTTTAAATTTATTTTATTGATTAAAATTTTTTTTGTGTTATTACAGTTAAGATTTGTACTTGAAATACC